TTCAATTTCTTTTAGCTATTGTCAAAGAAGCCTGTTTTAGCATAATTCAAGAGCAATGCATTTTCATAAAGCCTGTTGTCCAGTACAACTTTCCCTGAATTCTCAAAAATGAATTTTGTAACAGTACATGAGATCACTACATGTAGCTTTGTTACAACGCGAAATGTAATAACAACGCGAAATGTAATAAACCTGGATTATTACATTTTGCGTTATTGATTTTGCGTTGATCTCGACGCAGAATGCAATAACGCTAAATGTAACAATACACTTTTGAGCATTATTACATTTTGGGTCGAGATCAACGCAAAATGTAATAACGTAAAATGTTATAACACGATTTTTGGATTATTACATTTTGCGTTGTTACATTTTGCGTCGAGATTAAGCAAAAGACAGGAACGCAAAATGCAATAACACACTTTTTCGTCAGCCATATTGAGTACATTTTACAATAGTGTAGTGGCCAATGAAAAGAAAATAAAACAAAAGGAAAAAATAGATATATGCAATTTCTTACATTAATAAATTTTATCATATATTGATTTAATTAGCTACATATATTTAAAATCAGTTTAATAAATGTATTCAAATTATAGGTGTTGCAAATAAGAAACGTGCATCTGTGGGTAGGGTTGTGGAGGGTGGGTATGATCAGTGTGCTTTTGGTTTTGTTTATTGACAATTGCGTTTATTTGGGTTTATTGACAATAATGATACCATACTGTTCCATGCAAATCTCCAGCATTGTAAACAAGCAAAAGCAAAATTCTATCTCTCTCTTTCTTTCCATCCTATAATAAAATGGATTGTTTCTGCATGTCCACAACAATGCAAAAATAAACATACGAAGTAAACATCCCAACCTATTCCTGCCCCGCCTCGCTTGATACACACATACACGTCTAATTTGTTAACCAATGTTTACATGCCGAACGTGCATATCAAGAGCTTTTAATGAACCTATGGTCAATCTTTGGTAATTAAACAAATTATGTGTTATTGGTAAGAAATTTGATAAGACTATCAAAAACATGCCAATCAAAGTTAAATTAATTCTGTATAATTAAGTAGAGTGTATTCAATATAACTAAAATCAGAGTCAGAAAAAAACGATACATTTAGATGTATTTATGTCCGTAAAAGCCCTAACGTTGGTCTCATTGTTTTAGTTCTAAATATTTTTACAGCGTGTTTCCCATGTTGGTTACCCATATATATATTTAAATTGTTAAACGCAATCAAAAAATTAATTATATTATGTTTTATTACATATTTTTTCATTACATTTTGCGTTGTATTCTGAGCAAAAATAAAATAACGCAAAATGTAACCAAAAAAAGCACGTTATTAAATTTTTGCGTTGATCTCGACCCAAAATGTAATAACGCATAATGTAATAATCTAAAAATCATGTTATTACATTTTGCGTTATTACATTTTGTGTTTATCTCGACGCAAAATGTAATAACGCAAAGGTAATAATCCATGTTTATTACATTTCGCGTTGTTATTACATTTCGCGTTTTAAATACGGCTCCGTGTAAAAATCATGCAGAGGGTGATTCATGGGGGGTTTCAGAATTTCTTCAAACTTTGCATGTTGGTAGAGTATGCTAAGATACTCCAAAAAAAAATTATAATTTTTTTTTTAATTCTGCCATTGGTATCCATGGCAACCGATAAACTGTTTTAGTCAAAAAATGGCTGAAATTTCCTCTAAAAACAGGCAAAAATACCAATAATGAAGATTAAATGAAAAGAAAACTAAACAATAAAACTCATTTATGTTTATTTCTTATTAAAATACAGCATAAGTAGTTACTATCCATATCTAGTCAAAATATTTCTATGACCAGTAATGTGTTCTAATTTTAAGCTAAAAAGGGGAGATAATCCATATTGGCAAAAATGTAAAATATCCATTTTTTAGGATTTATATTATCAAAAATTTCTAAAAACCCCACAGCCAAACTAAAAAGCCATACTAGTTTCATAGAGACTATAGTCTAAATTCAATAAAATTATTAAAACATTTTTGTGCAAGTGATTATTAATTTCCCAAAACAACTGATGAATTTTGTACAAATATGGTAATTTCACTTTTTTTGTCACAGTCCAATATATGCCATATATGTTTGCATGTAAAAAATAAATGGCATTTCAAAACCATTTTTTTATATTTCCATTTTCAAATACAATTAAATTATTTACTTTTCTTAATTAATCCAAATATTACCACGTCCAGTAATAGTTTTTAATTTTAAGCTGAAAAGGGGAGATAATCCATTTAGAGAAAAACTGAAATTTTCAATTTTTTAAAGGATTTACAGCTAAATTCAGCTATATGATAAAAAATTTAAAGAAAAAATACACTACAGCCAAACAGAAAGGCAGTGTTTATTTACTAGACACCATACCTTATGGCAAATAAAATATTAAAGACATTTTTGTGCAATTGATTATTAATTTCCAAAAGCCATTGAAGAGTTTTATACAAAAAATGGGAAATTCACTTTTTCTTCACGGTCAAATAAATGTCATGTATATATTTTATATGCATGTTAAATTATAAATAGCATTTCAAAACAATTTAGTTCCAAAACCAAATACAACACAATTATTTATTTTCATTAATCAAATTATATCTATATCTACAGTATTATTTCTAATTTCAAGCTGAAAGGGGGAGATAATTCATGTTGACAAAAAAAACCAAAATATCATTTTTGAGGAATTCAGTTATCAAGAAAATAAAATATATCTATGATTTAAAAAAATAGCCAAACAAAAAGGCTGAATAGGTTTCATAGATACCATACCCTATAGGCCTATGGAATATTTAAAAAAAATCATGTGCATAAAAATCATTGTGATTAATAATTTCACCAAAAAAGAAGTAGCATCATCTTTTGTCAGAGTCCAATATATACACCATGTACACACACCAGTTGCATATTTTAATAATAAGAATTAAGTTAAGTTTCAAAATAAATTCATTTACATTTCCAAATTCAAAAACAACACAAGATTTTTTTTCATTAATGAACAGTAAAATGTAAAAAAACATTTGAAAATATTAATCATATTAATATTGATTACTAGATACACATCATATAATCATTGTATATGTAAACACAATTTTTAAAGTTTTACATCTTTGTAAGGTGCAGTCATGCCACTCAGAATATCACTAATCTCCCCTGCTTCTCTTCTGTAGTAAGTGACTGTCCTTTGTTTATTAGCCTCTTCGAAAAGCACTCAAGATCCTTGGGAAGAGAATTGCTGCCTGATTAACATTATCCAAAGTACCATCATGGAATCCACTGAACTCTAATCTCTGCTTTTTGACAGCTTTAAATATCTTATTTTCCATTATTCCTAAAATAATAATTACAATATACATGTATGTACTTATCATTCATCAATTTAGAATTCTTTAGGTTATGCTACATTATTATTAAGGTACTAAATGGTTATTTTGATTTTATAAATTACTTTACATGGAATATCAAGTTTATATAATGCAGTAATTTCATTAAAAATCTATAAATGGTTGCATGACATATATTCTCCCACCTTTGGAGTCTTATTAGTTGGTGGTGTTCAATGATGTTTTCTTGCTGTCTGTAATAAATAGTATAACCTTTTCCTTCAAAACCATGATGCAGTCCATCGCATACATTCTGTGAAAATAAAATGGGGTTAATTCATCTAAAAAACAATAATACTAATTTATGAAATAAAATACAGTAAAACAAAGTTATAACAAAGTCACCGGGACCTATGAAATTACTTTGCTACATCAATTACTCGTTATATCCATATAAGGAATTTGTTAAATTCATATAGCTGGGGATCTAAAATAACTTCGCTATATCCGTGAATTCGCTATATCCGTGTTCGTAGTAAACGAGTTTTGCTGTTTGTGAAATATCTTTTCTACTAGTGTATTTTTCATCATTTGCAATATGTCTCCAGTTTTAACTATAGTAAAATTTAAACAGCGTTATAAACTTGAATCTACTCTACTTCAAGCTTTCAATGACTTTTCCATATCAGTTTAACTTAACCAATTTATTTTAATCATCACCAGAGGCATATTTGCTGTTTTGAGAAGATTTTAAAAGATTGTTACTTAAACCAGTTTTCTATCTATTTTTTAAGATACATGTGTGCCTTGGTTTTGCAATGAGGAAAGCCCTTTATTTTTCATTCAAAAGTCATGACCAAGGTCAAGTTTTTGAAAAGTTTTTCATTTTCAGTCGGGTGTCAAATCTGTAATCTGTTACAAATCTGTTTGCCTGTGACAAAATTTGTGCATCTCAGGCAGTTGAGCAACAGTTATTTCAAACATTGCCTTAACCATACCATCATACTTATTCATGCCTCATACAGTGCACAGTAACTTATACAGGTCTAGACGACAAGATTTATCTGATGACACATCACTTAATTTTCATGTAAATTGGCTATCAGTTTTCTTTACATAGTTTTAAACAGCAGCACAAGGTCCGCAAACTTATTATCAACCCCTCAATCAAATATCAAAAGTATTTGCAGACGTCACAAGGTTTGTTCGGTAATGACAACTACAGTGGTACCTCATTTATCCGGACGCTTTGGTTCCTAGTCAAATTGTCCAGATATGTGAAGTCATAATTACCAGTTACACAAGACAAAATAACGTTAAAAATTTTCGTTCCGATGAAAAATCGTCTGAATACTGAAGCATTCGGATATCTGGCATCCAGATATCTGAAAGTTCACTGTATTTATGTCTAAAACTACAATTTTAAATGTGAGCATCGAGCAGTGTCTTTGGAAACTAATCTTTCAATTTTGGCTGTATAAAGTAAAAAAGAAAATCTATTGTTTTTTATGATGAAGTAAATAAAGTATGCAGTAAATCGACGAAAACCGTGTGTGGTTTCTCATTTGTGTTAACCTTAACCATGGGGACTCATTCAATTAATTGTATTCTAGAGTAGAGACAAAAACATTGTGCTGAAAATTACCTTCCATTAACGGCAGTGTACCTGAGCTCTTAAGAAAATGGAAATTCGTCTTTTGCTTAATTAAAAGTATTCAACAGCTGCAATACTACAAGTATCTATGATTTTTCCTTTTTATTAAAGACTCATAATACATTGTCATATAGGACTTGTGAAATACTTTTTGCATATAAAAAGCTTTACCAAGCTATTTTGAATAGATTAATAGGCAAGTGCAGCAAGGGTCCAAAATGCACGTAACTGCGAGCTCTGATGACAATGCCTGGGCAAAGAGAAAATTCAGACTACTGCACATTCATTCCATAGAATTTTTTACCGCAGTAATTTAGACCCACAATGCATCACTTGTACACAAACTCTAAAGCATCATTCTCGCGGGAATAACAACAAAAGTTAAACGAATAATAAAGTTGTCTTGATTTAATGAATTTATTTGTTTATTGCAGAAAGATAGTCATAAACTGATTGAAATCAGCCTTGTTCAGGCTTCGGTTTGCTAAAGCAACATACAAACGACGTCATATGAGGTCAGAATCTAATACGCACCGAATGTCACGTGCAGATTTACATGTCTAATCTAAATGAAAATGGATAAGTATATGCTTTCATCCTAACAGTAGCACCGTCAACATATTAAAGCTACATAGCTATTTCAAGCTACAAAATTAATTATCTTAATTAAGAAATTGTTCTGGAACCTGATTTTACCTGGTCAAATGTAACTGTCCAAATGTACATTATCTTCCCTCTCCAAGTCGAGTAAGCTGACAAAATCGGACTGCCACCCCTCTCTGAGAGTTTACTCTAGGACTCTGGTGGATTACCGTAGAAGTTAAACTTCCGAGATAGATCATAATGGTGTCAGTAGGCGGATTTCATTAAGATTTGGGAGAACGTCAACATGGTCAATACCTAATCAAAACGACACATGGCTATACTTTGCCAAAACTATGCCTAATCTGTCTTTGTCGAATCCTTTGAACCAATTTATGTCACTTCACACATATTTTTGCCGTAAACATCACAGGATGCTTCAAAATAACTTTGCAGCGTACGGCTTAGCACGAGTGGAGGCTGCCATTTTTTTTACTAGCGCCACCTCGGTAAAGTTGCAAAGGGAGATAACTAGTTGAAAGAGTATAACGAATTCTCGATTTTAAATACCTTATCTTTCAATACTTTGTTTGCACAAAAATATTTAAGTAAATTTTTATGAAGCCTTTCCATTTTTACTTTAACTATGTATTAAGTTTTTGTACATCTTCTTGGGTTTTTAAAGATATTCTTTTCTGAAATAGGCATTATTTGCACACTATCTATACAAAATTACACCTCAAGTACTTTATCCCTGGCTATATGAAAAAAAGAAGAATTATAACAAAGTCAACTGTTTATATTCATTTTAGACCCAAATGAATATATTAAACCCAATTTTATTGAATTTGAAGATGGTCGATGAATCACCTTTTCTGTAAGTGTCTGCATGATTTTTACACGGAGCCGTACTTAACATAGCTGTCTAGTCCAATATGTACAGGGGCAAATTCTGTGAAGGGATAGACAGTGTAAATAACAATCAATATAGCAAATAGGAATAAAAAAGGATTGAATTCATATTGAATCCAATAACATAAATGTCGACCAAAGCATTTGTTCGTTGAGTTACGGTTTTTATTACAACCAAAGTATTGAAAGTATTGAAAGCCTGGCTTAATTGTCGAAATAAGTACATTTCATTTTTTTTTCTCCTTGCCAATGATATTTAACAGAAGGGGTTCTAATGGTTATGAGTAACATTATCCCCTCTACCAATGATTAAATTTCACAAAACAGCACCAAAATTAAAGTGGAATTTACATGGTCTTAGTTGTAAATGAAAATACGTTTATGATTTTTATACCTTAAATTTCTGAAAATTGAGCTCGCAATGGGTATGCATGGTGACAGTGGGCTTTGAGTGGTTTTGCTGATTAATACAGGTATAATGTAGTATAGGAGTAGCAAGGTTGATAAACCCTAGCAATCAAAAATAAATTTAGACTTTTAATTTCGCTCTTTATAAATTTACAACAAGCGACTCAATATCTACCCAGAATTATTGTTCCACTTATACCTCTATCATCGTCTAAAAAGGAGTTCGGACATGGAGGACGTGCATTTTTTCAAATGTTGTTTAAAAAGGCCTGCAAGAAGATTTACACCTTTAAATTTTTTATATGTGTCAATGCTGCAAGTTGTTTGTCAATAAAAACTAAACCATGTTGATATTTATCTTCAAAGCGTTTTAAGTTCTCCATGTACGTAATATCCCAAGAAACATTCCCTTGTAAGATTGGTACACAAAACGATATCTGATTTTAATTCTAATTGATAAACCTTCATTTAAGATGTTCAGCAAGAATATAGAAGTTTCAGATTTATAATTTATGACCAAAAGGTAAAAATAAGTTTTGTTAAGAATTTTGGCATTTAGACGTAAAAAGAGGTGTTGTAGCGAAGCGAACAATAACTTTAGGTAGAGATTGCAGGCGACTAACAGGTTTACTTAAAGCAAAATGGACGTCTAAATGAGACTATTCTGCTTATCGGAAGCGTCTGTTTTGACGCTGTTTGGTTTTTTCGCAGCACAGTTAAGGATACAAATGGAAATGTGGGCGATCTATTATGATAAAATATACATCTCTATTAGGATGGGCGATTCTATTTAGGACTTCACTGATATCAAAAAAATGTAATGTGGTTTAAATCTACATAGGGGGGACATTTAGATATTTTATTTAGACTTGTCACGTAATGTCGACGTCACATGATTTTAGCAATTATACTCGCAGTTTAAAGGTCATCTATAAATTCCAATATTGCAAGGGCATAACCAAGTTAAACATCTTAAATTAATTTATAATCATTATCAACACTATATATACACTGTAGGTTGTGAAAAATCCTGCGAACCTATATAGATTCCTTTTTTTATTGCTAAACTTTAATTTGTTGGACGGCAGGTTGAATATTTTGCTAGTCAAGTATACATTGAATATAGCTATAATTAATTTATTTGCAATATTTAATGACGTTCGCTGCACTTTTCAAATATCTTAATGCGTCTTGAGTTTATTTGTGAAAACTTGACAAGATACATTGAGGGTATGCCCTTGCAATAAATCGATTTATAAGGGCCATTCCATTACTTTTTCAATGAATCTGCATACAAACACAAGACAGTATCACTTGTCTGGAGAATGTATGGACAGTTTATAAATAAAATACTAAAAGAGATATCGCATCCAAGTTAACAGCAAGTTAATTGCAAATAATATTTTATTTGAGAACAAGACATTTTTCATTATACAAAATGTGTCTTGATCAGCCTCTCACTGTGTACAAACTGCGTCATTTTTGCAAGATGCCTCACATTGACAAGTGCTCTGCGATCGATGCAATGTTCATATACTGTTGTGTGGGATTTAACAAACGACAAAACAGCATGCAATAGCACGTTTGTATGTAGCATACAGATAACCAGCTGTTTGAAATAGCTAATATTTTCATTTTTTAGTATTTTGAAGACCTTATATTATGTGTGACCTCATAGTAAACGTTTTCTGTACAAATAAGCCTCGCCTCCTTACTTTAATCTTAACTTTGCTGCGTTGTTAACTTTTCTACACTGCGCTTTTTATAGTTTGACATGTAGAAATTTGCTTAAAAATTGCTTTCCTTTCTTCCAATGGTACTCACAAGATGAAACATACCCTTTAACCTTGGTTTAATGGTGGCTTATAGGTCCTTAATGGTGGTTTAATGGCTGTCTTTAAGTCACCATTAAGCACCTTTAAGTAACATTACACCACCATTAAGTTACCATTAAGCCATCTCAAAGTCCTTAATGGGTGCTTAAATGTAGCTTAATGGTACCTTAATGCTGGCTTACAGGTCCTTAATGGTAACTTTTATACCACCATTAAGTCATCCAGCGTTTGAGTTTCCAATATCCGGGACCTTTTTTCGTTTATCGATATCAAAACTAAATTTTAGTATCTATTGTCACTCATTCGACTTCCGTTTGAATGGGTACCTGAATTTTTCTAATCTTAATATCTGCTATGCTATAATAAAAAGAATCATTTATAAAAGCATAATCTATTTGACTTTTAGGGTCATTGCATCACACCAAGTGAAACCTGTCATACCTGGATTTTGTTTTTTTCTATATATCATCCATCTTATGATGCCTTATCAAATCTTTCAAATAATTTACACTTTTATCAGCATTATCAATATTGCCTAGCTGAAGTTAAAATCTCCACATAGTATAATATTTTCATTGACACAACTTTTTGAAATAAAATTCTTAAGTTTTTGAAAAATTCACACCTCTTCTCAATTTCATTGGGTGCATATATATTTACTATTGTAAAAAATATTACCGTCAACTTCAAGATTTATCAAAAGTTTCCTACCATCAATATACTTTTTGACATTTATTATGTTTGCATCTAATTTTTCATTGAATAAAACCCACACGCCTCTACTGAATGCAGAGTCGCTATAGGCATGAAATGTGTTTCCTCTCCAGTTTAAATTATACGTAGATTAATTTTTTTTTCTAAGAAATGTTTTTTCTTGCAACAAAATTATATCTATATTACATTCTTTTAACCATGTATAAGTTTTTCGTCTTTTTTTAGGAGTATTTAAACCCCTAACATTAACTGAGATAAATTCCAACTTTTTCATAAGAAATAAACTTTAAGAGAAATTCTCTATAATGATTTGAAATTTTATATAGGAGCTGTGGCACGCATATTCTCAGAATTTCTCCAGACTCTCTATGATAAAAGTCATTGATACCCTAAACTGAAATCAGGCAAAAATTGGTTGCTATGTTTTATAGTTACCATGGCAACATGTCTTAAAGGTCGAAAAATGGCATTTTTAAACATGTTTAAAGCCCCATAGTTAACATTTGCGGCAAAGCAAACAATTGGCAATGACTGTTTCCAGAAGTTGAAGGTCAGATGTCTCTGATACATGATAAACATGTTTGGTAAATCAACTATTACATACGTTACTATGGTAACAAAGTATTCAAAAGTAAAAAAAAATATTCATTGAATTTTATAAAGTCATACACGTAAAAATAAAAAGCAATTATAGGATGAAATGCGACCAAATAATAGAAAAAGAGCCTTGAAACATATACCCAGAACAAAATATGATATTTTACTTTGGTTGGCAATGGTTGCCAAGGTTTTTTTACCACAGAGAGCCTTCAAAGTAACACTCTGTATGTTTAAATCCGATCCTATCTTTTAAAAAAGGCACATTTCCTCATAACTAATGATCAGTTATATAAGATGTTGGTGTGCTCCAAGTTTTCCCATTTGAAAAAATTCAGATTAATTTATTAAATAGAGCGTTGCTATAGAAATAAGCAGAAAATATATGCTTAAAAACCTGAAAAATATTTTCTTTCCTTGGATACGTACCCTTAAATGTAGATTCCCAAAACTTTCATGATTGATATTTATTAACAGATAATTTGACTTGTAATTTTGACTATCATCCAATCTCTAAGTGGATGCAAGAAGTTGGCACACAGGGTTTAATATTGATATAAAGTTCACAAAATCGAACATTTTCCCTTCTTGGTAACCATAGCAACAGTGTTGTTTTATTCATCAAATTTTATCAATATATGATATTCAACTTCATTTCTAACAGATAAGTACTATTCAAGCTGAGTCCATTAATTTGTTTCTTGATAAAATGGCAATTTAATTCTTAATGCAGTGAAAAATAATTCACTTTTAAGCACTGGTACGTTGTCTCCATGGTAACA